TGAACTTCATCAGCACGCTCGACTATGCGGTATATCTGCTGCTCGAAGTCGTCCCTTCCTAGCAAGGCGATGCCATCTAGGAAGAATCCCTGAGTCCCCTCATCCAGGTGACTCCACATGTGGTTCTGCTGCCCCACTATCTTGAGCAAGAAGCGATCTGTGTCCACTAGCGAACGAGCCAATCTGTCAATGGGATTCAGACTCGCTGATGCTCGCTGCTTCCTGGACTGCGTTCTGCCAGGATTCCCTGGATCCTCGCGTGGCCTAGAGGCTGACGCAGTCGTCGCGGTCGCCGTAGTAGTACCCGTAGGCCCTCTACCAGGGGCAGAGACATCGCTGGTCGTAGCTGCAGCACACGGCGCCATCGGCCCTCCAGCGATCCCACCGCACGGGGTCACTGAGCTGAGAGCCGCGGGCATGCGCGGGTCAGCAGAGGACACGCGCCGCGGGGCAGTCTCGTCCTTCATAGGGCGTAGGCTGCATGACCCACTCGTAGGTGCCCTCTGTGACCTCGACCTGCTGGTGACCGTCGTCCAGTTGCCACCTGCCTCTGGCTCCTCTCTCATAGGAGCTGCAGCTGCAGGCGCCAAGGATGGCTGTCTGCTGGTCCAGGGCGAGCTGTAATCAGGAAGGTGAAATTCGCCCGCCCGCCTGTCATCACGCACAGCTTCCTGCGCCAATTTGATCCAGAAGGCTCGCACTCTCATGAGATGTTTCGCCCATCTGGCCGCAGCCAGCCAAGCTAAGGCGTTCGGCCCAAGGCCTCCCGCCTCACGCATGGGGGTCCAGTGTGCTTCGACAAACTTGGTGTCCCTCGGGCCAGCTCTGCCCCTGTACGGAGCAGCCTCATCGTCAACCAGGTCGTGCCTGTTGAGTATCTCAAACTCCACTCCAGTGATAACTGCATCCCAAGCCATCTTGAGCGTGTCGTCGTCATGAGCACTTAGAATGGTGTCCATCACATGATCCCAGTTCATAGGATATCGCGAACAACCTTGCTTGGGTAGCTTTGGTAACTGCTTGGGCTCAACTGGGACCCTAAGCCAGATCTTCTTGGGCTCAGCTCGAATCGAAAGAACAACAGGTGCATGCGTGGGTAGCCCAGCAGCCTCCAACACATCTGGTGGCTCAATGATGGCGGCCAACTTGGAGTGAACTATAAAATAATCATATATCTTGCCCTCAGTCGAGTTGGTGGTGCGACATGTGACGTGCGACGGGACCATCATCAACGCATTCGTCTGCGCCACCCACTCCTGAGCCCCAATCAAATTCGCACTCATATTAAAGTCACCGCCAATGACCCAAGGCCGATTTGCTGCATTGAGGCGGCTCACGTATTGCGCCACCTTGTGTAAAATCATAAGGTTGTAGTCATTCATGTCCACGGAATCCTGCAAGTAGAGGGAAATGACCACCAGCCCACTCTTGAGGCCCCAGTTGACCTGCGCTGCCACAGCCCGAGATGGCACAATCTCAGGGTCTTTGAGCAGTGGTGGCGCCGTGATCGTGATAAAACTCGGCGTGATGACAGCAACGCCCGCTGAGAGCCCGTCAGCTGCCGTGCGCTTGGCCGCCGAGAATATGCCGTGGTAACCCATGCACTTCAGCTTGTACTGCAGGCTGGGCAACATTGATCCATCTGACTTGTGCTCTTGGACCAAAATCACCGCATCAGTGGCCTGCTCCACATAACGTAGCAAGGGGCCAGCTGCATCAGTATTGACCGTGACAATCTGCCCCTTGAACTTAGAATCGGAATACGTCATCTTAACCAGTATAGTGAACATCGTCATAGCGTGGACCAGCCTCCTTGGCCTAGTAGGCCTGGAAGCCTGGCCCTTTCCTCTGCTTGGCATGCTGCTCCAGCTTGCAGAGACGATTGGCCGCGTCACGCATCTCCTCCAAAGATGTGGGGACCTCCTGACCCGCCTCCGCCAGGTAAGGCCGCAATACGTCTTCGGTTGCTTCCTTGATAGGAACCAGCGGAGCTTCGTCATCAGCAAGTGACTCATTGTCCAGCAGCTCAGGACCTGCATGGTGTCGAGTCGCGCCCACTGATTGCAACCGAGCATTCGTGATACTCTGAGGCAGTGCTTGAGCCACACCGTGCGCGATGGCGTCAGTCCTGTCTCCAGCTCCAAGTGCGCGCAACACCTCACCCAACTTGGTTGTGTCCAGGCCCAGAGCATGAACAGTCTGCCCAGCCTCACCGTCGTCATTAGGCACAGGTGGGACATAGCTCTGGCGCGCCAAGTCAGCGTGCTGGGTCTGGAGCTCGAGCAGTTTGGCCTTCTTGTCCAGCACCTTCTGCTCAGCCTGCCCCAGCACATCCTGGAGCTCCTTGATGACGGCCTTCTGGTCGTCAACATCCTTCTCCGCCTTTGCAATCTGCTTGCCCATAGCCTCAATTTGCTTGCCAACGACGAACATGCGTGAGGCTGCAGGCTTGTGCTTGTTAATTTCATCCTGGAGCTCGCTGCGTTCTTTTGTGAGCGCCTCCTTGAGGACATCCCACGCTGCGCCAACACCTTTGCTGGCAACTGCGATCTCCTTATCCAACTCCAAAATACGTGCGCGAAACTTGCCTTCATCGAAATCATTTGCCATAGCCTTAGGCTCCGACACGTCCATGGCATCAGGCACTGGCAGTGGCTTGGCCTGGATCTGCTTCTCGAGCTTGGCAATCGTCTCCTGCGCCAGTCGCAACTGCTTGGCAACCTCCCACGGTGCCGAGCCCGCGCTAGCGGCCTTCTTGCCACCAGCCTTGAGACCTCCAGCGTGCACACTCGGGTCTGCGGTGGAAGTCTTGTAGGCCTTGAAACAACTGCTCTTGGGCCGCCTGCAAGAGAAGCATGATGTGCGGTCAGCCTTATTGAAGAATGGTTCACCCGTGCGCTCGTGGATGCAGGTCTTGCACAGCCAAGTCTTGTCGGCGACTGGGCGCGGCACCATCCTGCCGAACCAAGGCACACGATGAACAGGAACACTATGCACGAGGCTGAACAGCCCCGAGCGAGTGAGAATGCGAGAGACGCGCCGAAGTGGGGCGGACCACCTCGGCGGTCGCCCTGGGGCTGACCAGGGGAAGGACTGCAAACTGGCCGCGGACTAGCGGTATCCACTTGTTCCCCTGCGGAACTAAGCATCTTGAGCCAAAATGGCTACGGAGGAGGAGGAGGAGGAGGAGGAGAAGGAGCTGGAGGAGGAGGAGGAGGAGGAGGAGGAGGAGGAGGAGGAGGAGGAGGAGAAGGGGGGGGAGGAGGACGAGGAGGAGGAGAAGGGAGAGGAGGAGGAGGAGGAGGAGGAGGGAGGAGGAGGAGGAGGAGGAGGAGGAGGAGGAGAAAGGGGGAGGAGGAGGGGAATGGTGTCTCTTGGCATGGCCCCCCGCTGCACTTGCCGGTGAGAGACCCCCCGGCGGGTGCGGGGCCTTCCTCCTTGCCTGCGTTGCGCCCTTGGCTTCCTGGGGGCCTTCCTCGCCCGGTCTTGTCTACAAGGAGGCGGCCCCCGCGCATTGCACAGGGGCTCTTCTGGGCTCCTCGGCGCCTTGCGCGGCAGTTCCAACCAGTGCCAAGCGGCGGTGCCAAGCAGTGCCAAGCCATGAGGGGCAGTGCAAGGCCAGTGCCAAGCCACGCCAGGCACTGCGAAGAATTGCCAAGCAGCAGCGCCAAGAAACGCCAAGCAACGCAAGCTCACATGCCACCCGTATAATAACAAGGATGCACGGTAAGGATGCCAGGGCTCTGGGTGACCATTTCGAGGCTTTTTCGAGCGGGGCGCGGCCAGCGAAAGTGGCAAAGCCTGGGCCGAAGCGGCAAGGATGCAAGGGTGCCCTTGGGAAGGTAGCCCATCCTGATTATGCGGGTTCACTGTATGCCAAACAAGACTATGCCCAACATCAATTCTGAACAATGCCAAACCATGCCAAATCATGGATTACATTGTGTTCCTTTGCATTGTCTAGCACTCAACTACTCTGGAAGAAATAAGACCCTTGATTGGGGTCGCGCCGGGGTCCTCTACCTGGAGCCATGCATCTAAATCGAGAAAGCTATGACTCCCGCCAAATGACCTGACAGGCCTGCTTCATCAACTTGGAGCTTCCTCCTCCTTGTCCACCTCATCTGGTTTTGTCCGCCGTCTGCCTCCTCCTCCTCCTCCTCCTCCTCCTCCTCCTCCTCCTCCTCCCCGCCATTCTCCTACCCCTCCGGACTCGTTGCCCCTCCCTCCTCGTTCTTATCATCACCCCACCTCCCTCTCCTCCTCTTCCGCTTCCTCTTCCCCCCCCTCCCTCTCCATGTCCTCCTCCTCCTCCTCCTCCTCCTCCTCCTCCTCCTGCGGCAGCCGCTCCCCGGAGCAGGGCGAGCAACGAGACAACGTCGGCTCGAACTCATGCGCCGTGCCATGGTTCGGACTCCCTTTGGAGCCGGCGCCAGCGCGGCACGGTGCATAATTTGTTCGGCCCGGAAGGCCGAAACACCATGCACCGTACTCCAGATTTCGTAAGAAAGGGGAGGGGGTCACAACCCTCTCGGACGAGAAGTCTTAGACCCCCCCAGACCATCCACGAAAGAGCGGCCCTTTGCCCAGACCCCCCCCCGAACCCTCAAGACAGCTCAAATCAGACCCCCCCCCAAATGTGACCCCCACCACTTTATTGTGGAATCCGGAGTCATTCCCGGGTCGAAGATCGACGACGCCTCGGGGGGCGTCGACGCGGCACGGTGCACACAGGTCGTCCGCACAGGACCACCTCCGGGGTGCAAGCGCCGAACTGTTCCCGTCCGCCTCCAGCCGTGGCGAGCGCGGCCACCCCCGAAGGCCAACGGCCGTTGTCTCCAACTGGCGCTCCTCTGACCTTCCTCCTCTGGCCACCCCCTCTCTTTCCCCCGACGAGGCCTCACCCCGTCCAGCTCTGCCCCCAGCGACGACGACGACGACGACGACGGCGGCCTCTCTCGGGGCCAGCAGCGGCGCATGCCGCGAGGCGTCGCTCGATC